TTGTGCACATTTTTTAGAAATATCTATTTACACTGCAGCGGGTGCAGTCGCTAATATATAATATAGGTTTGTATGTATGTGTAATTGCGTATATCAATATACTTTTCACATTGTGCATATTTATATATATTTATATGTACACTGCAGCGTTGCAGTCGCTAATATATAATATATGTTTGAATGTTCGTGAAATTTAGTATGTCAATATACTTTTCAAAATGTGTATATTGTATATATATTACTATGTACACTGCTGCGGTGCTGTCGCTCAGTCATAGTATTTATATGTTTGTATTTATGTATGTGTGTATGACAGTAATGTCACTAAATACAGTACATACAGTAAACTATTTTATTGTGCTTACTCGTAGCCATCTAAATGAACCGAAGGCCAAGGCTTTATTACTGTATTTACATAATCTGTGTTTTGTTTTGTTATTTGTTGTTCCTGCGGACTTGTGTCCGTCAGCCTTATTTTTTTTCTTCTCTGGAGGCCTGGAGGGTCATGACGCTGTTGTTTCTTTTTGTTTTTTTGTAAAAAACAAAACAAAATAAAAAGACATTTTATTTATGTAAATATATCCTACTCTGAGGACAATATATTGAGCTATAGCTAACAGCGGTGCAGCCCCCTAGGCGGCTTCTACAAAAGACAGCGGTCCTTATTATTTAGGGCCGGGACTGATTTCTGGCAGTCCTGGTTACTAGAGTCCTGGTCTCTTCTGTCCTGGTTCCTAGAGTCCTGGTTCCTTCTGTCCTGGTTTCTTCTGTCCTAGTTTCTAGAGTCCTGGTCCGTTCTGTCCTGGTGGGTCACGGGAGGCAAATAAAAAAAATTGCACAAGAAAAAAAGAAAATAAATAAAAATAAATGTTTTTACCAAACACGGATCGAACAGTTTTAAAGCGAAACTCGAGAATCGAAAGTCAACATCCACATCCACAACAACAAAGATCACTGTGTAAAGGTTTTGTTGTATCAGAGTGTATGTGCATGTATTAAGATATATAGTACATATACTTCAGTATTTGTATCACTTATATCCTTATTATTAGTAGAACCGACCTCACTGCAGAACCAGAGGGTATAGGAATATAATCATGTCGTCATCCACGGGAAAAAGGTCTACCAAGAAGACGGCCAATTCTCGCTTCTTCTCCACCTCTAAGAAAGGTGCGTGGAAATTCAAGTATCTCAGAACACACGTTGCGTGAAAATTTTAATCGATCCCGGTCAAAATACTGTATATAGATTTAGACGTCCCTTATATGTTTTCATATTTCAAATATATATACATATATATATATATATATATATATATATATATGTATTCATTCATGTATGTGTGCATGCATGCATGCATGTATGTATGCATGATGCATATATGTATGTATATATGTATGTGAATGTACGTATGTACGAGTATGTGTATATATATTTAAGTATTTGTGCGTATATGTAGGTATGTATGTATGTATGTGTATATGTATGTAATTAAGTACGTATGTATCAAATTATGTATATATCTATGTGTATACCTAAATACATTCATACATACATACATAATCACATACACACTTAAGTATATATATATATATGTATATGTATATATATATATGTATGTATGTATATATATATATAATAATAATAAATATATACATATACTTATA